TACAACACTACACACCTGATGTAGTACAACACTACATTCCTGATGTAGTACAACACTACATTCCTGATGTAGTACAACACTACATCCCTGATGTAGTACAACACTAACACCTGATGTCAGTACAACACTACATTCCTGATGTAGTACAACACTACATTCCTGATGTAGTACAACACTAACATTCCTGATGTAGTACAACACTACATCCTGATGTAGTACAACACTACACCCTGATGAGTACAACACTACATTCCTGATTGTAGTACAACACTACTACACCTGATGTAGTACAACACTACATTCCTGATGTAGTACAACACTACATCCTGATGTAGTACAACACTACATCCTGATGTAGTACAACACTACATTCCTGATGTAGTACAACACTACACACCTGATGCAGTACAACACTACATTCCTGATGTAGTACAACACTACATTCCTGATGTAGTACAACACTACATCCCTGATGTAGTACAACACTACATTCCTGATGTAGTACAACACTACATTCCTGATGTAGTACAACACTACATTCCTGATGTAGTACAACACTACACACCTGATGCAGTACAACACTACATTCCTGATGTAGTACAACACTACATCCCTGATGTAGTACAACACTACATTCCTGATGTAGTACAACACTACATTCCTGATGTAGTACAACACTACACACCTGATGTAGTACAACACTACATTCCTGATGTAGTACAACACTACATTCCCTGTAGTACAACACTACATTCCTGATGTAGTACAACACTACATTCCTGATGTAGTACAACACAAACCTGATGAGTACACCACACATCCTGATGCAGTACAACACTACATTCCTGATGTAGTACAACCACTACCCAATCACCTGATGCAGTACAACACTACATTCCTGATGTAGTACAACACTACATTCCTGATGTAGTACAACACTACATTCCTGATGTAGTACAACACTACATCCTGATGAGTACAACACTACATTCCTGATGTAGTACAACACTACATTCCTGATGTAGTACAACACTAACATTCCTGATGTAGTACAACACTACATTCCTGATGTAGTACAACACTACATTCCTGATGTAGTACAAACACTACATCCCTGATGTAGTACAACACTACATCCCTGATGTAGTACAACACTACATTCCTGATGTAGTACAACACTACATCCCTGATGTAGTACAACACTACATTCCTGATGTAGTACAACACTACATTCCTGATGTAGTACAACACTACATCCCTGATGTAGTACAACACTACACACCTGATGTAGTACAACACTACATTCCTGATGTAGTAAACATACACACCATATACACTACACCTGATGTAGTACAACACTACATTCCTGATGTAGTACAACACTACACACCTGATGCAGTACAACACTACATTCCTGATGTAGTACAACACTACATCCCTGATGTAGTACAACACTACACACCTGATGTAGTACAACACTACACACCTGATGTAGTACAACACTACACACTGATGTAGTACAAACACTACAACCTGATGTAGTACAACACTACATTCCTGATGTAGTACAACACTACACACCTGATGTAGTACAACACTACATTCCTGATGTAGTACAACACTACACACCTGATGTAGTACAACACTACATCCCTGATGTAGTACAACACTACATTCCTGATGTAGTACAACACTACATTCCTGATGTAGTACAACACTACATTCCTGATGTAGTACAACACTACACACCTGATGTAGTACAACACTACATCCTGATGTAGTACAACACTACACCTGATGTAGTACAACACTACATTCCTGATGTAGTACAACACTACATCCCTGATGTAGTACAACACTACATTCTGATGTAGTACAACACTACATTCCTGATGTAGTACAACACTACATTCCTGATGTAGTACAACACTACATTCCTGATGTAGTACAACACTACATTCCTGATGTAGTACAACACTACATTCCTGATGTAGTACAACACTACATTCCTGATGTAGTACAACACTACACACCTGATGTAGTACAACACTACATTCCTGATGTAGTACAACACTACATTCCTGATGTAGTACAACACTACATTCTGATGTAGTACAACACTACATCCTGATGTAGTACAACACTACACCCTGATGTAGTACAACACTACATTTGATGTAGTACAACACTACATTCCTGATGTAGTACAACACTACATCCCTGATGTAGTACAACACTACACACCTGATGTAGTACAACACTACATTCCTGATGTAGTACAACACTACATTCCTGATGTAGTACAACACTACATCCCTGATGTAGTACAACACTACACACCTGATGTAGTACAACACTACATTCCTGATGTAGTACAACACTACATCCTGATGTAGTACAACACTACATCCCTGATGTAGTACAACACTACATCCCTGATGTAGTACAACACTACATTCCTGATGTAGTACAACACTACATTCCTGATGTAGTACAACACTACACACCTGATGTAGTACAACACTACCATCCTGATGTAGTACAACACTACATTCCTGATGTAGTACAACACTACATCCCTGATGTAGTACAACACTACACACCTGATGTAGTACAACACTACATTCCTGATGTAGTACAACACTACACTCATGATGTAGTACAACACTACATTCCTGATGTAGTACAACACTACACACCTGATGTAGTACAACACTACATTCCTGATGTAGTACAACACTACATTCCTGATGTAGTACAACACTACACACCTGATGTAGTACAACACTACATCTGATGTACAACACTACCGATGTAGTACAACACTACATTCCTGATGTAGTACAACACTACACTTCTGATGTAGTACAACACTACATTCCTGATGTAGTACAACACTACATTCCTGATGTAGTACAACACTACACACCTGATGTAGTTACAACACTACACACCTGATGTAGTACAACACTACAACCTGATGTAGTACAACACTAACATTCCTGATGTAGTACAACACTACATTCCTGATGTAGTACAACACTACACACCTGATGTAGTACAACACTACATTCCTGATGTAGTACAACACTACATTCCTGATGTAGTACAACACTACACACCTGATGTAGTACAACACTACACACCTGATGTAGTACAACATAATTCTGATGTAGACAACACTCATGATGTAGTACAACACTACATTCCTGATGTAGTACAACACTACATTCCTGATGTAGTACAACACTACATTCTCTGATGTAGTACAACACTACATTCCTGATGTAGTACAACACTACACACCTGATGTAGTACAACACTACATTCCTGATGTAGTACAACACTACATTCCTGATGTAGTACAACACTACACACCTGATGTAGTACAACACTACATTCCTGATGTAGTACAACACTACATTCCTGATGTAGTACAACACTACATTCCTGATGTAGTACAACACTACATTCCTGATGTAGTACAACACTGCACACCTGATGTAGTACAACACTACATCCCTGATGTAGTACAACACTACATTCCTGATGTAGTACAACACTACATTCCTGATGTAGTACAACACTACATTCACTGATGTAGTACAACACTACACCTGATGTAGTACAACACTACATTCCTGATGTAGTACAACCATCTGATATCAACATACATTCCTGATGTAGTACAACACTACATCACTGATGTAGTACAACACTACATTCCTGATGTAGTACAACACTACATTCCTGATGTAGTACAACACTACACACCTGATGTAGTACAACACTACATTCCTGATGTAGTACAACACTACATTCCTGATGTAGTACAACACTACATTCCTGATGTAGTACAACACTACATTCCTGATGTAGTACAACACTACACACCTGATGTAGTACAACACTACACACCTGATGTAGTACAACACTACATTCCTGATGTAGTACAACACTACATTCCTGATGTAGTACAACACTACACATCCTGATGTAGTACAACACTACACACCTGATGTAGTACAACACTACATCCCTGATGTAGTAAAACACTACATTCCTGATGTAGTACAACACTGCACACCTGATGTAGTACAACACTACACACCTGATGTAGTACAACACTACACACCTGATGTAGTACAACACTACATCCCTGATGTAGTACAACACTACACACCTGATGTAGTACAACACTACATCCCTGATGTAGTACAACACTACACCCCTGATGTAGTACAACACTACATCCCTGATGTAGTACAACACTACATTCCTGATGTAGTACAACACTACATTCCTGATGTAGTACAACACTACACACCTGATGTAGTACAACACTACACACCTGATGTAGTACAACACTACACACCTGATGTAGTACAACACTACATTCCTGATGTAGTACAACACTACACACCTGATGTAGTACAACACTACACACCTGATGTAGTACAACACTACACACCTGATGTAGTACAACACTACACACCTGATTGTACAACTACACCGAGTGACACTACACACCTGATGTAGTACAACACTACTCTCCAGTCATAGACTATTTATATTTTCATGGCTGTAGGAAGGGACGTACACTGGCACTGGAAGCGAAATTTATCAGGTTCGATCAAAAGAAAAAGAGGAAAGCTCCACTTTCATGGAACTAGATCTCACCACATCATGTAATGCTGTAAAATGCTACAAATCTTATCAGAAATTGTCTGTGCGGGCATTCGACCCGCCACCTCCAGGACTCAAGTCCTGCTAACCGGTTTCTCTGAATTCCTTCGGAAAATATTACCCAGTTCACTATTTTAAATTATAAGATAATAATCGTAATGACACGATTACAAACGAACCATACCACGGGCGGGATTTGAACCCGCGGTCAGAGAGTCTCAAAACTCCAGACCGTCGCGTTAGCCACTGACCGTGCGTTCAAATCCCGCCTTTGGTATGGTTTATAAGATAATAATTTTATTTGTCTTTGGCAGCCTTGGTGTCGCACAATAACTAAACTACCGATTCCTGCTGAATTTATTGTTGTCGCTGTCGGAACACTGGCTTCTTACTTCGGCAAGTTTAAAGATACTTATCATGTCAAGATTGTGGGCGAAATTCCTACAGGGTAAGTAAATGATTAGGTTGATAAGATGTTATCATTAACATTATTGTACTTCCGAGCGTTGATGAAGCTATATGTATACATACAAAGAAAGAGAATTATTTTAGTATGTTGTATTGTTCTTCATTGTGTTTATAATTCAACATACATACATACATACATACATACATACATACATACATACATACATACATACATACATACATACATACATACATACATACATACATACATACACACATACATACATACATGCATGCATACATACATACACACATGCATACATACATACATACATACACACGCACTCACACTCACACACACACACACACACACACACACACACACACACACACACACACACACACACACACACACACACACACACACACACACACACACACACACACACACATGAGAATAGCGTTCCGATACCTTAATAAGGAATCGTTCAAGACACTGTACACTGTGTATGTTAGGCCCATACTGGAGTATGCAGCACCAGTCTGGAACCCACACCTGGTCAAGCACGTCAAGAAGTTAGAGAAATGTCGTACGAGGAAAGGTTGAGGGAAATCGGACTGACGACACTGGAGGACAGAATGGTCAGGGGAGACATAATAACGACATACAAGATACTGCGGGGAATAGACAAGGTGGACAGAGATAGGATGTTCCAGAGAGGGGACACAGGGACAAGGGGTCACAACTGGAAGCTGAAGACTCAGACGAGTCACAGGGACGTTAGGAAGTATTTCTTCAGTCATAGAGTTGTCAGGAAGTGGAATAGCCTAGCAAGTGAAGTAGTGGAGGCAGGAACCATACATAGTTTTAAGAAGAGGTATGATACAGCTCAGGAAGCAGAGAGAGAGGACCTAGTAGCGATCAGTGAAGAGGCGGGGCCAGGAGCTGAGTCTCGACCCCTGCAACCACAATTAGGTGAGTACGCACACACACACACACACACACACACACACACACAACAGGAGCTAGGACTCGACCCCTGCAACCACAAATAGGTGAGTACACACGCATACACACACACACACACACATAGCTTTAAGAAGAGGTATGATAAAGCTCATGGAGCAGGGAGAGACTTAGTATCGACCAGTGAAGAGACGGGGCCAGAAGCTATGACTCGACCGCTGCTACCACATATAGGTAAGTACATATAGGTGAGTACACACACACACACACACACGCAACATACCCCCAAACCACAATTTTAGAAAAGAAGTTGAAGGTGTGGTATACAAATGCAGATGGGATAACAAATAAGTGTGAAGAGTGGCTTGAAAGAATCAAGGAGACATCCCCAGACATAATAGAACTCACAGAAACAAAGCTCACCAGGATAATAACAGATTCAATCTTTCCACCCGGATATCAAATCCTCAGGAAAGATAGAGGGAGGAGAGGGGGGGGGAGTTGAACTGCTCATTAAAAACCAGTGGGAATTTGAGAAAATGGACGGAATGGATGCCATAGGCGAAAGGAACTACTTAGTAGGAACAATCCAGTCTGAGGGCCATAAGGTGCTAAATGCAGTAATGTACAACCCACCACAGAACTGCAGGAGGCCAAGAGAAGAATACGACGAGAGTAACAGAGCAATGGTCGACACACTAGCCGAGGTGGCCAGAAGAGCTCACTTGTGGGGAGCAAAGTTACTAGTTACGGGTGATTTCAATCACAAGGAGATTGACTGGGAAAACCTGGAGCCCCATGGGAGTCCCGAAACATGGAGAGCCAAGATGATGGATATGGTACTGGAAAACCTCATGCATCAACATGTTAGAGACACTACCAGAGAGAGAAGCGAGGATGATCCAGCAAGACTGGACCTTGTATTCACCTTGAGTAGTTCGGACATCGAGGATATTATGTATGAAAGGCCCCTAGGAGCTAGTAATCATGTGGTTCTGTGCTTTGACTACATAGTTGAGCTACAATTGGAGAGAGTAACAGGAATAAGATGGGAAAACCAAACTACAAAAAGGGGAACTATACAGAAATGAGGAACTTCCTGCAAGATGGTCAGTGGGAGAGAGAAATGGCAGTAGAATCAGTAAAAGAAATGATGGACTATTGTGACAACAAAATGCAAGGAGGCAGAGGAGAGGTTTGCTCCCAAGGGAAACAGAAATAGTGGGAAGACCACGACGAGTCCTTGGTTCACCCAAAGGCGTAGGGAGGCAAAAACTAGGTGTACTAGAGAATGGTAAAGGTACAGAAAACAAAGGACCCAGGAAAACAAAGAGATCAGCCGAAGAGCCAGAAACGAATATGCACAGATAAGAAGGGAGGCTCAGCGACAATACGAAAATGATATAGCATCGAAAGTCAAGTCTGACCCATATCTGTTGTATAGCCACATCAGGAGGAAAACAACAGTCAAGGATCAGGTAATCAGACTGAGGAAGGATGATAGGGAGTACACAAGAGGTATGTGAGGAGCTCAACACGCGATTTAAAGAAGTATTTGCAGTGGAAACTGGTAGGACTCCAGGAAATAAGAACAGGGAGGTACACCAACAAGTACTGGATGAGGTACATAACCGAGGAGGAGATGAAGAAGCTGCTGTGTGAACTTGATACCTCAAAGGCGGTGGGACCAGACAACCTCTCTCTGTGGGTCCTTAGAGAGGGAGCAGAGATGCTGTATGTGCCACTAATAAAGATCGTCAACACATCCATTGAAACTGGGCAACTCTCTGAGGTATGGAAGATGGCAAATGTAGTCCCAATTTTTAAAAAAGGAGACAGACAAGAGGCATTAAACTACAGACCTGTGTAACTAACGTGTATAGTATGCAAAGTCATGGAGAAGATCATCAGAAGGAGAGTGGTGGAGCACCTGGAAAGAAACAAGAGTATAATCGACAACCAGCACGGTTTCAGGGGAGGGAAATCCTGTGTCACAAACCTACTAGAGTTTTATGACAAGGTGACAAAAGTAAGACAAGAGAGAGAGAGGGGTGGATAGACTGCATTTTCATGGACTTCAAGAAGGCTTTCGACGCAGTTCCTCACTAAAGGTTACTGCAAAAGCTGGAGGATCAGGCACACATAACAGGAAAGGCACTAAAATGGATCAGAGAATACCTGGCAGGGAGGCAACAACGAGTCATGGTAGGTGATGAGGTGTCAGAGTGGGCGCCTGTGATAAGCGGGGTTCCACAGGGGTCAGTCCTAGGACCTGTGCTGTTTTTGGTATATGTGAATGACATAATGGAAGGGATAGACTCAGAAGTGTCCTTGTTTGCAGATGATGTGAAGTTAATGAGGAGAATTAAATCCGTCGATGATCAGGCAGGACTACAAAGCGACCTGGTCAGGCTACAAGCCTGGTCCAGCAACTGGGTCCTTGAATTTAACCCTGCCAAATGCAAAGTCATGAAGATCGGGGAAGGGTAAAGAAGACCGCAGACACAGTATAGTCTAGGTGGCCAAAGACTGTAAACCTCACTCAAGAAAAAAGACCTTGGCATGAGTATAACACCGAGCACATCTCCTGAGGCGCACATCAATCAGATAACTGCTGCAGCGTACGGGCGTCTGGCAAACCTAAGGATAGCGTTCCGATATCTCAGTAAGGGATCATTCAAGACTCTGTACACCATTTACATCACGCCCATACTGGAGTATGCAGCACCAGTTTGGAATCCACACCTGGTCAAGCACGTCAAGAAATTAGAGAAAGTGCAAAGGTTAGCAACAAGACTTGTCCTTACGGCCTTACGACACTGGAGGACAGGAGGATCCGGGGAGACATAATAACGACATATAAAATACTGCACGGAATAAACAAGGTGGACAAAGACAGGAAGTTCCAGAGATGAGACACAGAATGAATCAAAGGGATGTTAGGAAGTATTCCTTCAGTCATAGAGTAGTCAGGCCGTGGAATAGCCTAGAAAGTGACGTAGTGGAGGCGGGAACAATACATAGTTTTAAGACGAGGTTTGATAAAGCTCATGGAGCAGGGAGAGAGAGGACCCAGTAACAATCAGTGAAGAGGCGGGGCCAGGAGCTATGACTCGACCCCTGCAACCACAAATAAGTGAGTATACACACACACACATGCACATACATACATGGAAACTGAGGCAATATAGTCTTCCTTTCAGTTTTTACTAAGAGGATCTTCCCCTCCTCGCTGCCACCTGCACTTATACCCTGATGGTCATATTCTGCTCCATATTCTGTAATTACCTAAACCATATCAACAACCACCCGAATTACCTGAGAAAAAAAATAATCGTAATCGACGGCAATAATTAAATTGACGGAAAACTGGGGAGCAATGGAACCCATGGCTTGGTGAGTGTGAATCCAGCACTCGACCAGTTGGTTGTTTTGGTTACTGTAGGAGAGTGACAACTTGTTTTATTCAAGTTATATGTGTAGGTGCTACCATCTTCAACACTCAACTTAGCCAAGTTTTCCTTGAGAATATTGAGACAAGCACTTTAGAGACAGGAATGAGATCTTCGCTTGTAATGTTGCTGGTGAGGTAAGGCGGCTATTAAAAATACTGTCAGCATTGAATATAGTACTATTTACAAACATCATCTAAATCTTACAGGTTATCATCGTTCTATTATGACCAATGTAGTCTGTTGCTAGAGCACTACATTAATAAGTGTGTTTATTCATGTACAGGTACCAAAATAAAACCCCGTTACTTTAAAATTTTTTTTTTATAGCACAAATTTTTGTTATTACTTTTTGGGAAAACCCCAAAAAAGCGAAACAAAAGGGCCCCAAATTTATTCCGCCCCGTTTTTAATTTAAATTTCATTAAAAGTAGTGAAACAAGAGTTTTTTTTGGGGGTTTTTTTTACAAAAACCTTGGGAAAGGGGGCAAGAAACCCAATTTTTATTTATTTTGTTGTTTGTGAAAAATGGTCTATATAAACAGTTTCAACTTCCCTTTTTGTAAGGGGTCACAAACTCAGAAATTCCCCATAAAAAGCCATTGTTTGTAGACCATACGGGAAAAAAAAAAACTTACCACGGGGGGGGCTAGAACCTGCGGGTTGGTTTTCAAAACCCCAAGACCGTGGCGCTATCCACTGGACCAAAGCCACAAAAGAATCTTAAATTTTGGGGGTTGCTGGTCCCGTGGCTAAAAGCGAAAAGGTCTGGAGTTTTGAGGGCTTTCGGATCCGGGGTTTTATCCCCACCCGTGGGATGGTTTGTTTCAATCGTGTTTATTACGAAATTCCCCGAAATCACCCTACTTGGTAGGTTGAGCGGGGGAAAAGCAAACATTGTTGTAGAAAAAAACACAGAATATTGTAGGGCCCTACTGCAAATTTTTTTGGGAAAACCATATGCACGTTGTATCCCTTAATTTCCCGGGAAAAATTTTGTAACCCTACCCTTGCCGGTTGGTTTGTTAGAAAAACTTGCCAGCATTTTCCCCTTAAAACCATTTTCTCCAAAATTTTTTACCACAAAACCTTTCTGGGGGCAAAGTTTGTTAAAAAACCAACTGTTTCATTGTTTTAACCCCCTAAAAGGCGGATTTTTAACCAAAAATTTTCAATTGTTTGGGAGGGCCAAAACTGGCCGATTTTTTGTAAACCATAAAGCAGCATTGTTGTAGGGCCCAAAGGGAGCATTGTTGTAGACCATACTGCAAATTTTTGTAAAACCCACTGCAAAAATTTTTTTAGACCATACTGCAGCATTGGTTTTTGACCATAAATGCCCCAAATTTTTGGGAGAAATACTGCAGCATTGTTGTAGAAACCCTACGCAGCATTGGGGTTTTTAGACCAACTTTCAGCATTGTTGTAGGGGGAGGGGGGGAGACCATACGGGGCATTGTTGTAGACCATTTCCCGCAGCCTTGTTGTAGACCCCTACGCCCGCATTGTTGAACCCCTTTCCGCAAACATTTTTGTAGACCATACCTTCACAAATTGGGTTGGGAAAACCCCAAAATGCGCCCTTGTTGAAATATATTTCAGCCTTGTTGAGCCCTTTTGCTGCATTTTGAAATCCCAAAAACAGCATTGGTTTGAAAGTTATATTTAAACCCTTGTGGCAGGTATTTAACCTGCAAAATTGTTTTAAGAAAAGCAAATTGTTTAAGTTTAAATTGCAGCATTTTGTAAGTCATAATTTCAGCATTGTTTAAAGTCATATTAAACATTATGGTATCATTTAAAATGCAGAAATTTTTGTAATTCATACTTAAACATTTGTTTTAGGTTTACTGCAGCAAATTTTTTGTCTGGTCAGATTTTTGTAAGTCATACAACAGCATTGTTTTGTAAAGGTTTTTTCATTTCTGCCCGGGATTGTTTTTCCCTAAAGGCCCGGGGATTTTTTGTAAGGGCATAATTGCATTTTCGGAAAAACCCTATTTCAGCATTTTGAAGGGCATATTTCAGCATTGTTGTAGATCATACTGCAAGCATTGTTGTGGGCCCCAATACGCACATTGTTGAGCCCATACTGCCTTTGTTGAAAGCGCATACGCAGCATTGTTGTAGGTCATACTGCAGCATTGGTGTAGGTCATACTGCAGCATTGTTGTAGGTCATACTCCAGCATTGGTGAAGATCATACTGCAGCATTGTTGTAAGTCATACTGCAGCATTCTTGAAGGTCATGCTGCAGCATTGTTGTAGGTCATACTGCGGCATTATTGTAGATCATACTGCAGCATTGTTGTAGATCATACTGCAGCATTGTTGTAGATCATACTGCAGCATTGTTGTAGGTCATACTGCAGCATTCTTGTAGGTCATACTGCAGCATTGTTGTAGGTCATACTGCAGCATTGTTGTAAGTCATACTGCAGCATTCTCGTAAGTCATACTGCAGCATTGTTGTAGGCCCATACTGCAGCATTTTTTTGTAAGTCATACGGGCAGCATTGTTTGTAGTCATACTGCAGCATTCTCGTAAGTCATACTGCAGCATTGTTGTAAGTCATACTGCAGCATTGTTGTAGGTCATACTGCAGCATTGTTGTAAGTCATGCTGCAGCATTGTTGCAGGTCATACTGCAGCATTGTTGTAGGCCATACTGCAGCATTCTCGTAAGTCATACTGCAGCATTATTGTAGGTCATACTGCAGCATTTTTTTGTAGATCTACTGCAGCATTGTTGTGGGTCTACTGCAGCACCCTTGTAGGTCATACTGCAGCATTGTTGCAGGTCATACTGCAGCATTGTTGTAAGTCATACTGCAGCATTATTGTAGGTCATACTGCAGCATTGTTGTAAGTCATACTGCAGCATTGTTGTAGGTCATACTGCAGCATTATTGTAGGTCATACTGCACCATTCTCGTAAGTCATACTGCAGAAAACCTTTTGTAGGTCATACTGCAGCATTGTTGTAAGTCATACTGCAGCATTGTTGTAGGTCATACTGCAGCATTGTTGTAAGTCATACTGCAGCATTGTTGTAGGTCATACTGCAGCATTGTTGTAGGTCATACTGCGCATTGTATAAGTATACTGCAGAAATTGTTGTAAGTCATACTGCAGCATTCTCGTAAGTCATACTGCGGCATTGTTGTAGGTCATACTTAAGCATTGTTGTAGGTCATACTGCAGCATTGTTGTAAGTCATACTGCAGCATTCTCGTAAGTCATACTGCAGCATTGTTGTAGGTCATACTGCAGCATTGTTGTAAGTCATACTGCAGCATTGTTGTAGGTCATACTGCAGCATTGTTGTAAGTCATACTGCAGCATTGTTGTAAGTCATACTGCAGCATTGTTGTAAGTCATACTGCAGAACTGTTGTAGGTCATACTGCAGCATTGTTGTAAGTCATACTGCAGAACTGTTGTAGGTCATACTGCAGCATTGTTGTAAGTCATACTGCAGCATTGTTGTAAGTCATACTGCAGCATTCTCGTAAGTCATACTGCAGCACTGTTGTAGGTCATACTGCAGCATTGTTGTAAGTCATACTGCAGCATTGTTGTAGGTCATACTGCAGCATTGTTGTACGTCTTACTGCACCATTGTTGTAGGTCATACTGCAGCATTGTTGTACGTCATACTGCAGCATTGTTGTAGGTCATACTGCAGCATTGTTGTAGGTCATACTGCAGCATTGTTGTAGGTCATACTGCAGCATTGTTGTACTTTCATACTGCAGCATTGTTGTAAGTATACTGCAAATTGTTGTAGGTCATACTGCAGCATTGTTTTTAAGTCATACTGCAGCATTGTTGTGGGTTTAAATACTGCAGCATTGTTGTAGGTCATACTGCAGCATTGTTGTACGTCCATACTGCAGCTTGTTTTAGGTCCATACTGCACCCATGTTTAATATACTGCAGCTTTGTTGTAGTCATACTGCAGCATTGTATTAGGTCATACTGCAGCATTGTTGTACTCTTACTGCACCATTTTTGTAGGTCATACTGCCAGCATTGTTGTACTCATCTGCAGCATTGTTGTAGGCAAAACTGCGCATTGTTGTAGTCATACTGCAGCATTGTGTAGCAACTGCAGCATTGTTGAACGTCATACTGCAGCATTGTTGTAAATCATACTGCAGCATTGTTGTAGGTCATACTGCAGCATTGTTGTAAGTCATACTGCAGCATTGTTGTAGGTCATACTGCAGCATTGTTGTAGGTCATACTGCAGCATTGTTGTACGTCATACTGCAGCATTGTTGTAGGTCATACTGCAGCATTTTGAAAGGGTCATACTGCAGCTTGTTGTAGGTCATACTGCAGCATTGTTGTAGGTCATACTGCAGCATTGTTGTACGTCATACTGCAGCATTGTTGTAGGTCATACTGCAGCATTATGGGAGGACAGGAGGTTGTAATTTGCACCTTATAAACATAATTATTAACAGTTTTTGACTAATCTCTACCAGGAACTGTACAATTATTATAGCAGTCAGTTGAGAGGAAACTCTGCGTTGTTCAGTAATGCCACCACCCCTTCCTTACCTCCCTACATACCTCCCTCTCTCCCTACTTCCCTACCTCACAACCTCCCTCCCTCCCTCCGTCCCTCCCTCCCTCCCTCTCCCCCCCTCCCTCCCCCCCTCCGTCCCTCCTCCCCGTCCCCTCCCCCCTCCGTCCCCCCCTTCCCTCCCTCTCTCTCTCCCTCCCTCCCTCCCTCCCTCCCTCCGTCCCTCCCTCCCTCCGTCCCCCCCTCCCCCCCTCTCTCTCTCCCTCCCTCCCCCCCCCTCCCCCTCCGTCCCTCCCTACCTCCGTCCTCTCCCCCCCTCCCTCCGACTCTGCCTACATCCCTCCCTCCCTCTCTCCCTCCCTCCCTTTCTTCGTCCCTCTCTACCTCCGTCCCCCCTCCTTTCCCTCCAAACCACCCCTTCCCTCCCTCCCTCCCTCTCTCCCTCCCTCTCTCCCTCCCTCCCCCCGTCCCACCCCCCTCCCCTCCCTCCCCCCCCCGCACAGCTCTAGTGTAACAAACAACAATCCCTTTAAAAAAGTTACGCATGAAAGCATTTCCAAGTTGACAATAAAAACTTGAAGGAAATATTGGCCGGATATGTTAATTAAAAATGGTCTAATTTGATTTCCATCGACGCTCACTTTAATTCTTTATAATAAACACGTTCAGTTTTTCCGAATGTTAAAGTTAAATGAACTAGTAGAAAAGTGTTATTAACTAAAGTGAAGAAATATAATTTTTATAAGAAGCGTCACTTACAGAGGACACAACGACCATTGAAAACATCTCCTCATTAGCCATATATGACCATAATTTTTAAAGGGGTGGACCGGTAAGCCAGCGGAAGGCCTCGGTCAGATGACCAAACGCTCCAATAGCGGGTCATCATCTGACTAAGACCCGCGTCAAGAAACACTTGTCCTGTTTCCTGACGAACCTTAGCTAACCTATCTCCTCACTGAGACAATACTGTTTCAAATTAAGTGTTAATTTCGGTTCTTTTATGAGATTTAAACGATTTAAGTTCTTTCTTCATGCTTTAATATTTAAAACTCTTGGTAGATACTTACTGTCACTGGAGGAGTTGCCATATAATGTAGAGATCTCAAAATTGAGGCACCAGAATCAACTTCCATTAAAGAGTATTACAGAGGTATTAAGGAAGTTCCACAATATCTTCAATTTAACCTCACCTCCTGAGTTTGTTCCTAGAAAAGTATCACTCTTCAGACTATTGTAAGAATGCAAGATCTTACAAGGGACATAAGTATAAAGTGTTTACGATCGGAAGGAATTTCTAGGCAGGACATTGCCCATACAGAAGCCTAGAAACTAATTATAATCTGATCCATCCTTCAGTCTAGCCTGAGGAACCGTGATGATGTCCATGCATCAGAAGACTTACACTCCTCATATTGTTTCAGTAAATGTCTAGTGCCTAGAACATTGTCTCCTCTCTGTGGTTGTGTCAGTGTTGGTACATGAAGGCTTCCAGCACCACCTGTAGTATCTTGGCCCTTCACGTCTCTGGTCCCCCCATATAGTTCCACGTTTTCCAAGTCAATCTTTTTATAGTTGAAATCCCCCATAATTAGTAACTTTACCCATCCCATGTGCGCCCGTCTGGCCACCTCGGGTGTGTAGTTACCATCACTCTGTTGCTCTCGTTCTCTTTTCGTAGTCTTCTGCTGTTCAATGGCGCACTGTATATCACTGCTTTTATCGCTCTTGGACCCCCTCTGAAGAGTTCCTACAATGTAGTCATCTGCTACACCTCTGACTAGTCCTCCCATCTCCTCAAAACTCCAGTGGTTTTTGATGAGCAGTCCAACTCGTCCTTACCCTCTGTTCCCCCTGTCTTTCCTCAGGAAAGATCACGTCTGTTATTACCAATGTGAATCTTGTCTCCGTGAGTGCTATGATGTCCAGGGGTGCCTCAGTGATTCTCTCCTGCCAGTCCTCACTCTTATTTGTTATTCCATCCGCGGTGGTGTATCATACCTTCAGCTTCCTTTTCAGAACTGGATTCTAAGGGTGTGAGGGGTTGGTGCAAACTCAGGGTGTGGAAGGCAGGGAATGATATTATGGTAAGCTGCTGCTGTGTGGTATTAGTGCTGGGGGGATGATAGGGAAACTGTGAGTGTGCAGTGTGGTTTGTCTCTGGTTATTGTGTTTGGTTGGTGTGGTTGTGGTAAGAGTTAAGGTGAGTCTGTGAGTGGAAGGCACATCCTCCTCAAGATGTTGTGCTTTCCTGTCCGTCGGTGCCTGCCCTGTCTCCCCTTCCTGCCTCTGGCACCTTCTTCCCATTCTTTTTGTGCTCTGTCGCAGTCAGTGTACACTTTCTGGTATTCAGGGGTACTTTAATTAACAGTGGTATCTGCTGCAAGGCCTTGTTTTCTACCATTTCTGTCTTGAAAAATAATTTGTCTTGGTGGCTCTTTTCCCTTCAGTACCATCCAAGTCTCCGAATATTTGCCATTGGGTCATGTCCTCTCCTATTACCACAATGATGCTCTCAATCTCTTACTTCCCCTTGGCTTCTTTCATCATAAATTTTCCCTTCTGCCTCATGACGCCCATGAATAATTAGTGACCTCTCACTCCTCTCTTCCCATTTCGTTTCCCTCCATGTCTCTGGGTATAATGACTCTTTCAAACCCCCTCAAAGAGTATTTGAAAGGATCATTCCTTCTCATGAAAAGAAAATATAGAATAAATTATGACAGCATAATATAAACAATTTTATTGATAATAAGCAAAACTTACTTATAAAATGTAAAACAATCAAACATAAAATGTTCCTAGCTGAAGCAAATAATGAAAAGTAAAATATATAAATAACTCTCGTGAACCAAAGATATACAGCAGACACGTGGTAATCCGAGATGCCGATGTTGGTGCTAAGTTGCTCAGGATTCATTCGGGGGTTTTGAACTAGAAGCTGGTGTGAGACACAGTAGTCACCGATGGACGTGACTGTTATGAAGGTCCGCCTGTAACAGTAACAGATTTTTGCATCAGGGCGGTGAATGACCACAGATGATGAAAGGGCACACTGGAATGTTCTGTGTAAGACAAGTTGAGTTTTAGAACTATAACTTAGATCCCGCTGCCTGTCTTGTCTCGCCAGTGTCGAGTGACCCAATTTGAATACACCTGCATAAAGAGAAAAACACAAAGTCACAAACCAGAATCACAAGATAGGCAGAAGGCCTTCAAAAGAAATGGTGAGAACAAAGATTATATAAAAATAAGTCGTAAGTCAAATCGGGTTTGGTCAAATTAATTAAAAACCCAACACAATGTAACGATAAATAAGAGTGGAACTCAGTACTCAGGAGAGTCCCACGTTAACGCCCATCGGAAGGAGAAGGGGGGAGGGGGTAAAGGTAATGCTACGCACCCCTTGCTAAACAAGATTCAATCAGTTGTACTACCAACCACCACTAATTCATACTTCCACTCTTATCTAACAAACTTTTCCTCACAGTTCGATTTAAGCGTCTCTTTAGTTGTTTTCCTTTTCATCTCCCAGACGTTCCGGTGACCTTATATCATTTCCTCAACGAACCTCTCTTCTCCATCCCCTCCTTAAATCCCCTCACTGCCTGCTGATGTTATTGCACCCAGCACCTTGCTATTATCTGTCCTGTTCTCCATATTAACTTCAGCACTTCCAGTTCATCTGGAAGGCTCTGCATTTTTGCCTCAGCAGCAATAGCTTGTAACTCCCACTTCTTGCTCTCTGTAGATATCTTCACCATTCTGTTGCAAAACTTGCTTAGCCGTTTCTCCCACTCCAGTTCCACTTTGCTCTTGATTTTTTTTTTGTGTGTGTACTCACCTATTTGTGGTTGCAGGGGTCGAGACATAGCTCCTGTTTGTGTGTTTCTGTATGAGTGTGTTAGAGAGAGAGTGTGTGTGAAAGAGTGTGAGTGTGAGCGTGTGTGAGGGTGTTTGTGAGAGAATGTGAGTGTGAAGGTGTATAAAAGAGTTTGAGAGTGTATGAGAGTGTGTGTGTGTGTGTGTGTGTGTGTGTGTGTGTGTGTGTGTGTGTGTGTGTGTGTGCTTCCTGACAGTAAATGAATAACATTATTTTTCATCTTTAGCTATAACTACATTATTATCACGTAAAACAAGTCCCATATATAACTACATTATTATCACGTAAAACAAGTCCCATATATAACTACATTATTATCACGTAAAACAAGTCCCATATATAACTACATTATTATCACGTAAAACAAGTCCCATATATAACTACATTATTATCACGTAAAACAAGTCCCATATATAACTACATTATTATCACGTAAAACAAGTCCCATATATAACTACATTATTATCACGTAAAACAAGTCCCATATATAACTACATTATTATCACGTAAAACAAGTCCCATATATAACTACATTATTATCACGTAAAACAAGTCCCATATATAACTACATTATTATCACGTAAAACAAGTCCCATATATAACTACATTATTATCACGTAAAACAAGTCCCATATATAACTACATTATTATCACGTAAAACAAGTCCCATATATAACTACATTATTATCACGTAAAACAAGTCCCATATATAACTACATTATTATCACGTAAAACAAGTCCCATATATAACTACATTATTATCACGTAAAACAAGTCCCATATATAACTACATTATTATCACGTAAAACAAGTCCCATATATAACTACATTATTATCACGTAAAACAAGTCCCATATATAACTACATTATTATCACGTAAAACAAGTCCCATACATAACTACATTATTATCACGTAAAACAAGTCCCATACATAACTACATTATTATCACGTAAAACAAGTCCCATACATAACTACATTATTATCACGTAAAACAAGTCCCATACATAACTACATTATTATCACGTAAAACAAGTCCCATACATAACTACATTATTATCACATAAAAAAAGTCCAATACATAACTGGTTCCGTCTTTGATAGATACTTTAATCATTAAAACATGGGAATAAGTAGGAAATTTGTAAACAAATATCAATATTTGACAAAGATTTGGCAAATCAATTGATTTTTGGAAATGGCCGACAAACGATGGACGTCACTGATGTCGTAGGTCCATATCTGGGTGACTTTATATCCAAAATGCATTAGAACACCTAGCTCCTCAATGTTACTTCTTTTATGATAAAAGAACTATTTTGAACTATTTTTTGCACTATTTTGGCCCTTATCTCCTGTGTTAATATCCCTTGTTCATCACCCTTTATTAATTACAGTAATAACTATATGTATGTTTGTTTGTGATAAAAGGCGAGAGTTTTTTGTCTTCGGAGGAATCTATATACTCATCTGTAGGTGCAAACTCATCACTTTCTCTCCTGCATCGGTACAGTGTTGTAAACACAAAGTTGTAGAAAATACTGTATATTTTCCAAAAATACAGTGTATTTTGTATGTAAATTGATGGAATATACTGTAGGTAATAAAAATTAATTTGTAAATAAATAAAGAACCAGCGAAGGGGTGAGGGTCGCTGGGGGAAGAGTCACCATTGTTTTGAATTGACCGAGACAAACGTTAGTGAAAATCGGAAGAATTTTTGTCGCTCTAGGGGTTATATTGGACTTAAAACCTCTCAAATAGGAGCCGAAATTGTTGGATTTGCAGTCCTGCTTAACGTGAGCATTAGGTGAGTCGACAGGACAGTCCAGGAACCCCAGCTAAGTCATGTCTAATTATGTTGGAATTCTGGCCAGTATTTTCTTCATATTTAGGCAGGGGTTTGTATATGATACACCAAGTAATCTCCAGACAAATTGGTGAGTCTTATTATTATAAATTCTCCTTCTGTTACATAAATATGTATATGTAATCATTTATTAATTTTAATATACAGTCCACATATTTATATTAATGTTTTACCAGAATTTCTGGTGATGCATATTTCATTTAAAATTAATATAGGTCCAGAGTGACTTGTGGATATGACAGTAGTAGGTATCGAAGGAGGACATTTTTTGTGACCTAGGTGTCCTAAAATTCCTACTTGTCTCTGTAACCTTGATAAAGAATAATTATCTTAGTTACTATTTACTGGTATGTATCTTATGAGATTCATCCAAGTAAATTTAATTTTCCACAAAGTATAAATGTTTACGTGGTTCGACCTCAGATGAAATGTATATTCAGTATGAAGACAAGTCCATAAGTGAACGTTGTCAACCTGGCGAACTAATAG